ATAAATAATAAAAAAAAGAATATACTGATAGAAAAAAAAAAAAAAAAAAAAAAAAAAAAAAAAAAAAAAAAAAAAAAAAAAAAAAAAAAAAAAAAAAAAAAAAAACTTAGGCTACCCTCCTCTCATCTGAAAGGGCTTTCTGTCCCTTTTTCCCTAAGGGGAAAATTGAAATCTCAGTTCTTAGGCTCTTAACATTTCAACAGCAGATTGAATACCTCAATGGCAATCTGAGTTCTGTATTTCTAGTACAGCTCCAAAGTAAGCAGGATTCAGAGTGTAGAAAGTAGTAATTATCACAGCTGTTGCAGCAGGGTCTCAGTAGCTATGTGGATCCTGAGTGTCTGGAGGAAGCCCAGCATCCTGCAGTGCTGAATGGCATCCATTGTGTAGAATGGTGGCAGGAGGTTTCATGGATCAGACATCCCTTGTTGTGGGGCCAGGAAAGCAGGACCATGAACTTTCATTCTGACTCCTCCATGGGAGCATTAGCAGCTATGATGTCATTGGTCTGGTGTTCTTTTGCTGGACACATCAAATCAGGCATTTTGGAAGCCATCTCACTTTATCTTCATCCTGTGACAAACATAGACATATCCCCAACCCCAAATTAATACAGGGTCAGATCCTTTCCATCTTCCAGTGCAAGAGTCTCTCTACCTTGCTTTAGCAAAGGCTGCTTTTGTGCCATTATGCTATAATCTGTCTTCTGCTGATTGCTTATTGACATTGATATTCAAGTTTAGCCTAAACAGTACATGATTTAAGGCATTATGTGGAATTTGAGAATTTAATTCTCCTGTTTTTAACTTTTGAAGTTGTGTTTTCAAGGAGCTATGAGCATGCTCCCCAATTCCTTGCCCTTGAAGATTATAAAGAATTCCAGTATTATGTTTGATAGTCCATTGGGCACAAAATTGCTGAAATGCTTTATTAACATATCTGGATCCATTATCTGTCTTTATTATTTTTGAGTTCCCATATATGAGAAGCATTTTAAACAATGAGTTATTACATGCTTGCCAGCTTCCCTGGTTTGTGCAGTGGCCATCAAGAATTTTGAATATGTATCAACTGTCACATGCACGTACCTCAATTTTCCAAACTCTGAGACATGAGTAACATCCATTTGCCATATGTGATTAGGAAGTAGTCCTCAGGGATTTAACCCCATATAAGATAAATATTGTGGGCACATCTCACATTGCTTAATAATTTGGTAAGCAGCTTCCCTTGTTAATTTAAATTGTTTTTGTAAACCTAGACAATTTTGATGATGCAAAGTGTGGGACTGCTGAGCAAGTTAAGCCTGCAATACAGCAACTATTTTTGTAAGTTTATTAGCTAAAGCATTACCTTCAGCTAATGGACTTGGAAGATTTGAATGTGCTCTGATATGTCCCACAAAACATACTAACTTTCTTTGTTGTATGGCCTCTTGCTTTTTATTGGTTCTCTGAAATTAACTGAGGGGATACTGAAAGAAAATCTTTGGCAATCTTGTGGTGCCAAAGGGATGGTATATAAGCAGTCTTTTTAGTCTAAAATGATTTTATGGGTGCCTTTTGGTATAGCTGTAGGAGAAGGCAGCCCTGGTTGTGATGATCCCTTTGGCTGCATGGTTGCATTAACTTCTCTTAAGTCCTGAATTAATCTCCACTTCTCTGATTTATTTTTAATCCAAACTGCAAATCTGCCTAGCTGACAGGCTTAATTTGCTTATTTATATTTTGACAGATACCTCTCTGGGTCTGGAGCTGCAATTCCCTGAGACTACTATTTTGCAGCTTGGCTGTCATATGTAGAAACTGGGATCTGTATTTGAAGCTGAGCTATGTGACTGGGCACAGGTCATGCTTCCTCCACTGCTTTGCCATTTTGCTTGGGTACTTTGGACCAGGTGGTCAGTCTCTCATCTTTTTCTTTTGCCTTGGCAGGTCACAGGGCATGTTCAGTGATCCTTCCACAGACTGTGACTGACTGGGCAAATTTAGCTCAGGTTCTCAGGTGTCCTCATTGTAAAAGCTTTGAGACGGCCATATTCATAAACTTAGGCAGATATAGCCATAATTGTAAAGGATTAATTAAAAAATGTGGATCCCCAAGTAGCTGCAGTGGCAGTAACGCTGCAGGTCCTAAAGTGGTGGCAGGCAGTGGGTCCCCAGAGCAGCCAGTCCCAATCAGGGACTATGTACAAGACTACACTGCAGGTCTCTGAAGGTGGCTGGTCCTGGGCAACTAGCCATGTGGTGGCAGCAGGCGAGAGACAGATGTATAGGCATGTTATGTACAGTAAGGTTGAATATTTATTTAGTGGTTTATGGAGGGGAAAGGGAGAAGGGAAGAAGTGCTGAGAGCCAGAGAGAGAAAGAGAGAGAAAAAAAGAAGAGAGAGAGGAGAGAGAAAAGAGAGAGAAGGGAGACATGGGAGAGGAAGAAGCTGCCTCTTCAAGAGGGAGATAGAAAAGGAAGAAAGTCAGGCTGCAAGCGGGAAGGAAGATCTGTCTGCCTCAGTGGACAGGGTGTGAAATAGGCATGGCTTGTCACTTAAAGGGACAGAACAGATCATGATAATAATAATTTTTTACTATCCTTGCCTCTTTTTTTTAAAAAAAAAAAACAATCTTGTAATCATAAAATTAGGAGAATTCCTGTATCCTCTTTCTTTGTTAAAGCCATAGATTTATCCATTTGTCAATTAGCCTCTAGGTATTTTCATTAACCAACTCTGGGCGCTGACTGTAGGAGGTATAAATAGCCCTTTAAACTATTTTGTCTCCCACTTTTCCTGGCTCTACTGCTCAGTGTGGGTCAGACTCAACTGACCACAGCGTATGCCTGTAGTACCATACGTCACTGCTAAGTCAAATGTCGTATTCCCTTCACTCTTACCACTCAGTCAGCATCAAAAGAGGTTGCAACTTGATGACCATAGCACTTCTGCTTGTAGAGGCGAAGGTGAGGCCTTATTTTCGCCTCTCCAAGTCATGGAGCAGCCAGAAGTTGATGGTGGATAAGCCTCCAGCATGGAGGCAGAAATATAATCTTTAAAAACTCTAGAAATCTCTGCCTTTGTTTCTGC